CTCCTTCCATCCGGCAGCCTGGCCTTGATGCAGAAAAGCCTGGAAGAGGCAGAAAACCATTCGGTTTCAGAATTCAAGAAGAAGAAGTGGGGACCTGACTTTGGCCTGTCAAGATCTCAAAAACATTGAAAATGTACAGAGCTTCATAATACAGTATATTGTTCTGAAGCAGCTAGTTGAGAAGATTTTGTTTTCAGTACCATTTTAGCTTAAAAAAAAACAAAACAAAAAAACAAAAAATAAAGTTCTTCGGTATGAAGCTGAAATAGAAAGTCTGAGGCTTCGAGGAATTTTTTCGTTGTGTCTATGGTGGTGGTGAATATGTGAGCAGAAGGGTGCCCAGCCCATGGTCAGCGCCCCGTGGAGGCACTTTCCTCTTCCTTCCTCCCGTAGGTGAAGCCCGGAAGACCCCTTTACTCCCTCCCAAGTGTCAGGGGAGCTTTTCGGCAAAAATAAGTGACAGGAGCCCAGACCCAGAAACAGAGGAGGAGCCCGGAGAGGGTTGTGATGAGAACAGACTGCGGCAGGAACAGCTCATTTCATCCATTGGAATTACCTTTTCCTCTCCTCTGGCCCTTGACAAGGCTCTTCTTTCATCATTAATCTGTTGCAAGAGGAAGGATGGTGTCCATAATTGCACTGTTGTTTGAGTGCAAGGGAAGCGAGTGAACTTCAGCTAGTCTCTGGGCAGCTCAACAGCAGTGCCCAGTCATCCCGGGGTATATCCCACAGAACGATCCGTTCCCCGGGAGGAACCGGCGGTTCCTGCTGGCATCGTGGCGGAGACCAAGTCCACCTTGTAGATGTCTTGATCACCTGATAGCAGGACACAGCATTTTAAGGAACTCCTTGTCTTTTAGCCCTCCCAGGGTCTTCCCGTAACAAATATATGAGACACAGAACTGGCTCCTGGAAGGCAAGGGTACTTGGTGGCTCAATTTACTTGGTCCTCATGGATTTGGCTCTCAGAACATCTTCCTTCCCTTCTGATTTTGCTTCTCCGCCCCTTAGCATCCAGCTGTCACGTTCAAAGTGGAGGAACACAGGGCCTTGTTAATTGTGTTTGTAATTTATTTATATATATGTTGTTAAAAAGCAGAACCGAATCGAGTCAGTTTGAAGGTCTGATTGGGTTTCTTAGAGGATTCATGAATTGGGCCAAGTTCTATCTCACCAGCTTCCAGGAGGTGGACCAGCTAAGTAGGAGGCTTTTATAGGAAGGAGGGTAGGGCAAGGAAGGTATCAGCAAAAGAAACGGAAGGATTCTTTCAGGCCAGGACATCATCTTTTGGGGGTGGAAGGGAACTGGCAGGATTTTTCTCATGCAGGTCACCTTGCTAGTGCCAGTCAGGAAATTCCAGATTGACTCTTAAACGGTTCGTGGGACAGGTTGAAACTGTAATTAAGCTCTTGTAGGGGGCAGATGACTCCGTTTCGGGCTTGTTATTTCTTTTCACAATATATTTATATCTCAAAATAATCTCTAGCATTGTGGTCTCCAAAGAGGAACTGGAACAATCCTGACCCCCGTTGTCCAAGATAACCTAGAATGTTCCCTCCCTCCGTTCTTCTTGGCTCTTTGTCACGGAACGTGTAAGCATTTCGTGCTCCTATATCATTGTTGCTGATTCAAAATGTTCTGTCTGGTAGATAGGAATGTCTTCCATTTTATAGTTCCTTGTCTTAAATGATGGAGACATTTGCCAAAAATGTGTGCTGTTGGGAAGGGTGGAAAGAACATGGGGCCATATGAACCCGAAACCTGTAAGGAAGTGTCAGATCGGCTATACAGATGAGCAAGCTGTTCCATTGATTAAGGCAGAAGCATTTGGTTGTATATTTTGAACATGACAATAAGGGACTCACCTGTATGTCCCTAACACTTTTTTCCAGTGAGAAAAATCAGTTCTGCCATTTGCCACATTTCAATCTTAGAGACAAGTGCACTCCCCTTTGTTCCCATGAGCTCCGCATGCAGGAATGAGAAGACTTCACTCCTCCCTTGATGTCTGCCACGGGAACTTTCCATAACAGTGGTCTCTTCATGGTCTTGCCAGCTGATCCCAAGGTCCCACTTAGTATGGCAGTAGCCTTTCTAAACCAGAAGATTCTTCTAGCTTCCTCCCTCCATTTAAGCTTATTTTCCCCCTTTCTTAGTAAAGGAGACTTTTGGCATGTATTTCCCACCAAACTTGGCCAGCAATATGTTCTCTCTAACAGATAGAAAATCAGGGACACTCCTAATGGTCACATTGCTGAGCCATTGCCCATGTCTAGCAGACTAGCCTCGGCAGTCTGTCTGTAAGACAGGTCTCCACCTGTGAACTGACCTGGAGCCCTGAAGTAGGTCCTGACATCACTTGGGTCCCAGAGGCTTTTAAGTGAAGTATGTGTTGAAATAGGGAGTTTGCCTTAAAATCTCCCAACTGTTGCTTTAGTGTTTTTATTTAAAAATTGACAGATACTCACACGGGACCTGCAAGTGAGTGGCAGAAATTGTAGTCATCAAGATTTGCCCGTTTCCCTTATTAGCAACCTCCTAATTCATTACAGCATAAAGAGAGTAAAGGCTCTGAATCACTGAGACAGGGGGAGGCTATCTGCTGAATCCGTATTTGACTCCTGGAGCATTCCCTGTTTGCCCTCTTCTCTCCATGGGGAACGTTTTTTTTTTTTTTTTTCCCCAGAATAAGATGTACTATCCTCACACATGCTCATTTGTCTAGTTAAGAGTCTGAGCCAAAGGGTCATGCCAGGTGGGGCTGCAAACATCACATTTCTAGAAAAATCTCAGTAACTTGAAGTAAAGCCAAATATTTTCCCCAGGAAATGTGCATGATTTTTAAAAAAAAAAGATAAGCTTTTTGTTTTGATGGTCTTTATCTTTAAAAGTGACTTTTTTTTTTTTTTTAAAGGGGAGATACACTTTTACAGAGTTACTGTGTGGATAATTAAAGCTGTAAAACTAAATCTTGTATAATGTGTATAATTTGATTCAGTTAGTAAATATTTATTGAATTTTCGTGAAGTCCCAGAGATTGCCGCATTCAATAAATAGGGCAGTAAAAAGTGCAGCCTTTTGGTGGGGGGAAGAAAGATTTCCGGTGTAACATAACAGAAAAAGATTATGTTACGACTTCTCAGAGGGCTTTATAGTTTATTGTATCTTGGAAAAACTTGTTTCTAGTCCAGATATACAAAGATTTACTAACAGTTGCCAACTCATCAATTCTTTGCATCAGTTGCCTGGTTCGTGGTTTCATTTCTTTACCCAACAAATATTTAGTGAACTCTTCTTTGAGATAAAGACCCCATTTTAGGTGTTCGCTTTAGGTGGCATCATGTAAGCGACTGTTGGTGAGAAAATGTGATTCTCCTTCTAAGTGGCTGGCTAGTGGCATGGCAATTTTAGTTCTTTACACTGTTATTTTCGTGAAGTCCCAGAGATTGCTGCGTCTGAGAATCAGAGAGCTGTAAACACAGCTAGAGACCAGAAGGTAGCATATTTCAAGACCAATGAAGATGCGCCACTGCATTTCTTTGGTTGACCCCCTGGACTAGTGGTTCTTAGCATCCATATCAAGATACCAGGACTAGAGCCAGAGTCTTAGGGCTTTTATGACCCTCTTCCAGTGATAAAGGCAACAGATAGGGACAGGGCTGGAGTTGCTCAGGGAAGGAACCGTGCAGATGCCATGTGGGTCCGCGAGGCCTTGTGGGTGGCAAGCCTTGGCAATGTAGCCCCTGTCCCCAGGGTGTGGCTGTGGGGCTCTCAGAGGTGGGGACCCCTCAGTTGTACTCAGGTGTTTCAGAGAGCACATCAGCGTGGATATTCACCTCTGGCTTATGGAGAGCAGTTGTTTGGTTAAGTTTGTTCTTGAACCTCACTGTCCAGCTCTTAATGCACTACGGCCAGAGCATCTTCCTCTTCGATGGCACCACGTTCAAGGCCCCCGGTCTCTGGTGCATCATTGCAAAACTAATTGCTAGCTATTGGTTGTAAGAGCTATACACGTAAGAAGCTAATATTTCATTGTTTTTCATGGTAGAAATAGCATCATTACTGTATGTGTTTGCACTGTTTTAAAAAACCAAACCCAAGTATCTGCTGAGTTGTTTAAAGTGGGAAACATGGTGCATCTCACAAAGCAGGGCATTTCTGGAACAGCAAGCATGGGGTCCGTGGGTCACTCCGGGCAGGCCCAGCAGCCTCAGGTTTAGGAGCGAGTCTGTCATTCTCTTATTAAGGCCACATATGCCCGCAGAAGTCAGGCACATTTTCAGAAATGTTAGTTTCTATTTTCCTTCCTTGATGTGAATTTAATTTTATTTCTCATAACCTTTACAAATTCCTGACATCAAATCTTGAAAGATCCTAGGAGCTATGCTTCTTTAAAGTGAGAAACGGCACATTCCAGAAATGTCATTCGTCAGGAGCCTTTCAAGGCAAAGAGGTTTGGAGACCTTTTACGAAGTGACGTGACGTTTGGGTACTTATCCACCCGAGAGTTTGAGGCTTCCCCATCACTAATACTTACCTGAACTACCACAAAATAACACAGAGTCCCGGGAAGACCCGCATTTCAGACCTTCTCAAGATTAGATTCTACAAACCCGACGATCAGCTTCAGGGACAACTGGCTGGGGAGAGCCAGACTGAGAAGGATATTGCTTCCCCTGTGGAAGCCTTGCCACAGGTGTTTAGCCTGTAACTCGTGGTTGTGTCTAACGTCGAAAGTATTTATTTAGTTTCTTCTTTTAAGTAATGGATGTCAGATATTTAATCAGATCAATATCAAAAATGACAAGAAACAAAAATGTGTCCGAAAACAGGGCAAAGGTGTAAAACTAGTGAATTATCTTCCCTCTATATTGAGATGCTACTGTTGTATTTAAAAGAAATCTGTTGAGAGGAGCCTGGGTGGCTCCATCCGTCAAGCGCCTGACTCTTGATTTCAGCTCAGGTCATGATCTCAGGGTGTGAGATCGAGCCCCGTGTC